GATAGAAGTCACTGAGCCACCGCATGGTCACCATTGACAGTGCTTTTTTGGCAATGAGAGGGAAGTTGGTCCTGGAAAGTAACGAGGAAAAGAAAGGAGCTGCCTGAGGGAATAAATGTCACTCTGATGTTGCAAGCCAACATCCTAGCTGTCAGGTGAAATATATTCCAAGACATAGAATTTCTGATCCTGTTTCTGGATTAGAACACCAAAGGAGCTCAAACAGGAAAGTGCTTTGGCATATGTTAACAGAATGGCTCTTGGGCACTATGGACTTGCTGTTCAGGTTAATGGCTCACCTCCCCACCCTGCTGAGGTAATTAAAGTGTTCTAAAGCCCCTTCAGAACTCAAAAATAGTTTCTGTTTGCTGGGCGGGTGATAAATCTCATTGAGCCTGACAGGAATTTAATTACACTTTCTTCATGAAAACACCAGGGATACCCATTACCTGGATCTCTAAAGCTAAAGGCTTGCAGACCCCCCGCAGTTGAAAGGTTACCAAAAACAAGTTCTTCATCATTTAAATGGATGAGAGGCCTCCTTAGCGTAGCCCGATTAAATTGGACCAAAGAAAAATTGGTCTCAGACTTCAGGGAAGGTAAGATTTTTTACCACTGCTCAGAAATAGAACAGTTTTGCTCCATTAACATCTCGTAGGAGATGAAAAAGAAGTTTTTGTTTTTGTTTTTGTTTTTGTTTTTTGTAGAATTCATTGCTCCACTCACTGAAGTCTTATGAGAGTAAGAGGGAAGTGTGCGTGTTGTCCGACACCTGGATGAATAGCCAGAGAGAAGTCCCACAGCGGGTAGGGTACGGAGCTCACCTCACAGGTCCATGACTTGCCGGAATGTTGAGTTCATTACCAATTTGGTTAGAAAGAGGAAATTAAAGTACAGATTTCTGCTGGAAACCAGTGGGAAAGTTTCATTTGGCCTGCTGTTTTCCTACTTACAGGGCTGTTCAATGCAACGTAGAGTCTACTTTCTAGCAGCAAATCATCCAGAGAGGCTGATGTCAAAATAAGCACAACTCTGGATCCTTATTTCACAACCGCAGGCCTGACAAGATGCAAGTCAGGCTAGGGATATGGAAAAAGATCTGGCAAACTCCATCTCATTTACCCTGGACCCAGTTCAGAATAAATCAGAACTTCAGTTGTATACAACTCTGAGACGGAATCCCAGGGTCCCATGGACCAGGCCTAGCCTTGTAATTTCCCTTCGCCTGGAAAGGCTATCATACCAGGATATTCACCGGGAGCAGATTCTTATTTACAAGTTCAACCCCTGACATTTTCTGCATTATGATTACATGGCTCATTTGATCTTGTGACTCCTTCTAATTTCCCTCATCTTAAATTTTTATTTTTTTTATGTTTTTTATTTTTTTATTTTTTTATTTTTTACCTATCGTATTTCTATACCAACTCTGCTCTCCCTATGGAGATTTTATAACATTTACCGAAATCTTTGGAAGGAACCAAATGTCACAAAATCAGGGCTCAGAAACAAAATACTTAAGGTTATAAAGGTATTTTGCTCTGGTACTATTTCCAGTTCTCCTGAATATGATTGCATGGGTTTATCATCCCATGGTACAAAATCATAAGATTTGGGGGTGGGCTCAAATGGTTCATACCTAGCACAATGTCAAGAGCCAGGAAAAGTCCTGGGAACTGCGAACTTTGCCGTGTGGTGTTTTCTCATTTCCCCTGCACGTCTGCATGGTTTTTGTCTGACTTGAATTTGACTTTTGTGGGATAATTTTGCATGCTCTTATTTGGATTTCTTTTTAATTTAAACATTGTTTTCTTCCTCTGCATCTGTTTGTTGTTGTTGTTATTGTTGTTATTTTGTTTTGTTTTGTTTTGTTTTCACTAGGCGACCCCCTCCTGCCGTTCCAGGACGACCATCCTAACCCCCATGATTCATCTCCTTTTGTTTCCAACAACATATCTATCTGTGGTATTTAAAAGCCTTTCATTTGCACTACATGTCATATGTACATAAAAACTTTTATTTTTGATCCATGTCTATAATAAAAACAAAGCTTATTCTATATAAAAATGAAATGTGTTCTGTTTCATTTTCTAAAGAAGACCCAGATGAAAATAATTTTCAACTAAAACCAGGTAAGGTGAAAATATGTAGTTTGATCTTGTAAGGAACTTAAACTGAAAAATACTTATGTTTAAGTTCTTAAAGCATGGTTATTTAAGATGCTATTTGGTGGAGAATAATTATCTTCAATTGAAATGTCTGTCCAATGAAAGCATGAAAAGATAGACACAAGTGTTGGCGAGGATGTGGAGAAGAAGGAACCCTTGTGCACTGTTGGTGGGAATGCAAACTGGTGCAGCCACTGTGGAAAAGGTAATGGAGGTTCCTTAAAAGGCTAAACATAGAACTGCCCTATGACCCAGTGATTGCACTACTGAATATCTACCTAAAGAATATGAAAACACTAATTTGAAAAGATATATGCACCCCTGTTTATTGTAGCAGTATTTACAATAGCCAAACTATGGAAGCAGCCCAAGTGTCCGTTAACAGATAAAGAAATATGGTATATACATACATACTATGGAATATTACTCAGCCATAGCAAAGAAGGACATCTTGCCATTTGCGACAACATGGATGGACCTAGAGGGTATGATGCTAAGTGAAATAAGTCAGTCAGAGGAAGACAAATACCATATGATTTCACTCATGTGGAATTTAAGAAACACAACAAATGGACAAAGAAAAAAGACAAACCAAGAAACCAACTCTTAACTCTAAAGAGCAAACTGGTGGTTACCAGAGGGGAGGTGGGCAGGCGGTGGGTGAAATATGGGATGGGGATTGAGGAACGCACTTGGGATGAGCAACCGAGTAAGGTAGAGAATTGTTGAATCACTATATTGTACATCTGAAATTAATACAACACTGTATGCTAACTATGCTGTATTTTTTTTAAGTGCGAAAAAATGAAGCAAAACTTCTAGAAATCTAGAAAAGACACAGAAGACATAATTGCAACCTGCCTCCAGGTATCTCCTTAATAATTGTTATTCACCAAAACATTTTTTCCTGTTTTTATTATTTTTTCTAAACACTCTTTGTAGGAGATAAATTATGTAAGATCATGGAAAATTTTATAGGTCTGAAGCACAAAAATCTCAAACATTCTAGTCAGCAAATTCAGGGAAAAAATATATTATTCAGAATAAAAGTGCAAGGAAATGTTGCCACCTTGAGAAGAAAGATTTTTTAATGTGTCAGTAAAGTACTGGAAGAACGGAATCTGTAGGAGTTTGGAGGAACAGAACTTTTTTTATATATTAATCCTCAAATAGTGATTCCAACACTGAAATTTTAAGCTACATTAAAAAAAAATTATCCAAATAAAGTGTTTGTTATTAAGGTAATACATCTGCCAAATTTGTGATCTCAGATTTTAAAAAAAGATTTAAGATTTAATTCAGAATTTTCTCTTCGAAGATTTATATGATCTAAATTACAATTTACAACTATCTCCTACTAGGTGAGAACACTTCTGTAGATGTCTCACTTTACCATATTAAGACAGAAAAATGCAGGATAGGAAAGTAAAAAATTGTTCGTCAGGAATGGGGGTTTCCGTGTACTTTGTGTCTGACCTAGGCAGGCCCCAGCGAGGACAGGCAAAGTAGATGTGGACAGGACCCTCCAATTAGAAAATGGAGACCCCTCACTCACAGTGCTCTCCCTCTGGACCGTGAAAATCTTTCATAAGCACGATGCTCTCCACTCAAAAATGCGAAACTAGTTTCTCTGATTAAAATTGCACAAAGCACATTCCATCAATTTTTACTGATACGCCAGGTCCAGTGACTGTGAGTTAGAAGCACTGGCAACTAAGAAACTTCAAAGGCCCCCACGCAGGGAATCAACTGAGGCTCAAGTATTCCTGGGGGTGACTGGGTTGCTGCAGAATGAAGCACAGTGTGCAGCCCTTGGCCTTGCCTCCACTCCAGCCTCCACCTCCAGCCCAGCTATTTGAGTTTTTAAATAATATTGGCCAGCATCCCCATCCCAACAGTGACAATATTCCCTGATTATTTCATATCACCTCAAACAAACAAAAAAGAGGTTGGCAACGGGAAGGTTTTTCACCAATTCATCTTTTTTAGGTTATTTGGCACTTTTCCACTTTGTCCTAAACATGATCTTACTTTTATGTACAGTGTTACACAGTTTAGATGTTTAAAGCTTAAGTTGACCTGATGAACAATGAGAAAGGAAAACCCAAATTATAGAATAAAATGATTCCCTAGGAATCTTGCACAGTCTCAACAAAAGTGCAGTCCCTTCCTCACATTGAATAGGCAAGAAAAAAGGGGGTGAGTGGAGGGTAGGGCTGGGGGCAGAAGCAGCCTGCAGTCACATTAAACCGTGGTAAGGTTTGTTCATATTTATTTACTGTCCTTAGTGTTTCTGTGTTTCATGATGTACCCTTCCCCAACTCTCCCTGCCCCCACCGCCACCCTCAATATTTGATAGGGTTTAAAAAGTACTGCGTTCTTCAGAGTTGAACATAACTCGGGATCATCATGAGAAAACGTTTTACCTTTTACAAACATACCATCTCTTAAATGTTCTCGTCCCAATATTTATGTGTCAAACATTCCTTGGATTCATAATAGTGTCCTATTAAGTGGTCTGGGAGCACCCAGCGAAGTAACAGGATAAAAGTAACAGGACAAAAAGCTGGGAGCACCCAGCGAAGTAACTTACAAAATAGCAGTAAGCTATTACTGCATGGTGCTATGACAGGAGAAAATGTGAGTCATTTTCCCAGGGAGAACTGTTACTGACTTCAGTGCTGAAGAAGCCACTTAGGTTCTAGAACCGAAATTATCCAGTGCATGCTAACATTCCAGAACATGGTGACTCTGACCTCTGACAAAGAAAGGAACAACAGAACTCCTTTCGGCCAATCAGAAACCAAAGTTTTCATTTCTAAGTGTTGGCTGAGGAGAGGCCAGTGGAATTGAAACTGAAGTAGTCCGTGCCCTTTGCCTTGGCTTCTGACAGAAAGGCTTTAGAATCAGAAGGCAGCACCCTTACTGGAAGCAGTGAGGGAGGTCCCCCCAGTCTCCAGCTAGAAGAATCCAGGACATCTGAGAGATGGAGAAAAGAGAACTAAAGGTAGGAAAAAATAAAACTTCCAATCCTTCCCTTGGGGAGTTTCACTGGTAAATAAATGCAGACCACATATACACAGAGGGGTATTTCACCAAATGGCCTTGACACTAGAAGCCAAAAGGAGATGAAATAACGTCTACTCTTCCTTTACAGACATGGATACTTTCGGTGGGCTTGGAGCAGGATACATTTTGATCCTCTTTTAACGCAGAGTTTGAAAATTGTTGTAACATCTGTTTCATAACTCGGCATGAAGTAGGATTAAAAATCTCAACTGATACTGGGGTCTCTCATCCAGCTCCATGAGATTCTGAAGTAAACCTTTACAACTGAGAATCCGTTTTAAAAACATGAACCTCACCCACCAGAAAATAAAGATTGCTGAAAAAAGAAAAAAAAATAATAACTTCTGTATCCCTTTATAATACTACAGTATCTCAGTCTGCATAAATCAAATGGAGCTGGTGACACTTCACTACCAGATGCCCCCATTTACAGGACATGTTAGCCAGCATACTAGACCCACAGTTTTGGTTTATTATACTATAAGATACTATTGAAGCGGATTAGATGGCTGGCTGCGGGATGAGCCGAGACTAATCTGCTACTCCCGTACTGTTTCTAATCAAATCGAATTTCACAGTACTTTATACCAGATCCCGATTTCTAGCCCCAGTCTACATCGTCAGTGAACCTCAGGAACAAGAGCCCTGGGCAGGCAGGGAGGAAACAAAGCCTTAGCAAACTCCCCGGGGCGTCAATGAGACTTAAGGATCCTCAAGACAGTAATGGGGAAGTCACTGATGTGGGTTTTCTCTCTCAAAACAGCTGCTAACAAAGTATATTTTTGAAGCTTCATAGGACACTTGAAAAACCAGGCGTTCTGGCTCTTTGGGTCTGTATCTTCTCCCAGCTCCTATCTCTACTGCGGGTGCGTTTCAGAAGGCATCGCAGAGCAAGTCAGAGCCAAGGAGACAGCTCCTTCTTCCTGCCGCCTTTTTCTCTTTTAAATACTCTCAGCTTGCATACACAAAAGCCGCCCGGGGCCTGAAGATCTGTTTATTTTGCAATTTACAAAGAGTGGGAGGCCCACAGTGTTCTCACTGAGCAGAGTCCAAATGTTGCTTGGGCTCCACACAAGGCCACAGGGCCGGCCTGGAGTGGGGACCGGGGAGCCCGCAGAGCTTGGGAAAGCAGAGGCAGCCACCGAGCCAGCTTTTTACGGGGACCCGAGGGACCACAGTTTCCGTCGACCTCGGCATTGGCAAAATCAATCCGTTCCATTGTCCCGGCAACATATGGTCAAGGGATTGTAGAGCGAGTCTGTGTAGGGCACAGGACCTCAGGCTGATCCTGGGTGTCATTTGAACCCAGGTGCCAATTGGTGCCACATGGTGGCAGGAAAAACCACTTGCCCGTGTGAGCCCCTTCCCCGGGCACTTTTGCCCCTGTGTCACCTGATGGGAGTGAGGGGCACCACGGTGGTCCCAGGCCCCTGGTGCTGAGCAGATGCCAGGCATTTGGGAAACAGATGCTTCCTAACTACCTCATCTCCGGGGGATCCCTCGTCAATCACAGTGATGTATCTAGGAAGGAAATGGTATTTTGGTTTGGTTGGTGATTGCTGTGGTCTCCCAAGGTAAACAAACCACCATTAATCACACCTGTGAGCTGGCAAAGACAAAAACACCGGCCAGAAGCATGAGCCTGGTGGAATCTAGCTGCTCCTACAGGTGTTCAGTGGTTTCTGCTCCGCCTCTGCCCCGCTGCTCAACTGTCCAGAGCCCTCCCCATGGTCACAGCAGGGTGCCGCCTCAGGCCCGACTGTCCACAGGACCTTGATCAAACTCTGGCTCTTATCTACGCTCTGCTCACTTTACCCAAAATCAAGCTTTCTTTCTTTTTTTTTTTTTTAAACATTTTATTTATTTTTGAGACAGGGAGAGACAGAGCATGAACAGGGGAGGGTCAGAGAGAGGGAGACACAGAATCTGAAACAGGCTCCAGGCTCTGAGCTGTCAGCACAGAGCCCGATGCGGGGCTCGAACTCACGGACCGCGAGATCGTGACGAGCCGAAGTCGGCCGCTTAACCGACTGAGCCACCCAGACGCCCCAAAATCAAACTTTCTAGAACACTACAAATGGCACCGCCCCACCGTCGGAAGTTGACCCAGTTCTCAGGAGGTTCGTGTCATTACCCCCAAAAGGCTCTTGCTAAAATGTGCCATTACCTGGACAATTTGCACATTAATTCCATTAGCAAGCAATACTAGTATGTTCACGATGACATGAGGAAGCCTGTGCACTAAGACCGCACCCCCTTCAAGGTAAACAGGAGCCCCCACCCCCAACACATGCATTCTCCACACCATCTGTCTTGAACCCACGAGGACTCTCATTATGGGTCCTTTACCCAGCCTACCTCAGTCTTCCAAGATGGCCAGGTCACCCCCCTCCCCAGCACTCTCCACACAGTTCCGTACACACCCATCCTGTGCTGCCCTCCTGCCCTCCTCCACCTTGGAAACCCTTACACCGTGCCCTCTGTAATCTGCTTGCCACGGTCAGCAAAATCCCCTGTATCTTCAACCTGTTGTGTGGATGTGCCTTCCATCTTCTTGCTCTAACACAACCAGAATCTCTTCTCAGGGCACGGCTCCCCCTGCAGCCCTCTCGTCTCCCACAGCCCCTCACACTGCTCTACCTGAGTGGGGTAGGCACTCCTGTTGTCCACTTTTTCTTTCACCATCTTCCTCCCTCCTCCCTAAAACCCTTAGCTTTGAACCTCATGGCATCAGACTATCGCACATACTACCCTTCACTGTTCCTCTGACCCACCAGCCCCTAGTTTGCTTTCCCTGATTCCCTGACGATTTTAACTCCTGTTGCCCTGCCACTGTCTCCAGTACTCTTCCTGTCTTCATTCTTGGGGATTTCACATGTGTGTAAATTATCCTTGCAACATCCCACCCCATCCATCCCGCCTTTTCTCTTGGTCTTAATTTCCCATTGATATTGTCCTTCACTCTACCTCAGCTACTCACTCCCAAAGTTAAAACCTTGTCTTTATTCTCTGATCTTCACTTCCTATCCTTCTAGCTGCTTGAACCTCCAATTCATCGACCTTCCCCGTCCCTCCTCTCCCTTCGCCCCTGTTAAGGTTCACTCTCCTTCTTACCCAACTAAAATGCCACGGTCAATCGTTATAATCATGCTCATGCACATATACTTTTCTCCCTTGTCCTTCTCTCAATTTGATAAAACCACCACCCCAGAGACATTCAACTCTCCATCCACTCTGGTTTGCACATGGTCTGGAAAACACACACAACACCCTAATTGGTTTCACAGTAAAGTCATGATCTCCATGCTCAAGTGAGCCTTTAATCCTGCTGAGCAATGACACTAGCCATCCCTAGTTCATTCACTGCCCCGAAGTACTAAACTATTTCCTACCTTCTCTCTCCTCACTCCCCCATCATTTCGTCCCTCGTTCTCACTCTCAGCTGATTCTGTCTCCTACTTCTTAGGAAAATTGAAGCACTCAGAAAAGAACTTCTGGAAATCCCCATCACCTCCTGTACCCACTTAGCAGCCACCCTTCCACCAGCATCTGTATCTTATGTACTCTGCCGCCCACCTGTTACCATAGTAACTATCTTGTCCTCTGTCTGAAGCCAGCCCCCCAACTGGTGCACTAGACCCCTTCTCCTCTCAAATGCTCACTCATAATCCTACCTTCCCCACATCAACTACTACTTCCTGTTGTTTCACTTCCATCAGCATACAAACATGGTATCATTTCCCCGGTCTTAGGAAACAAAGTTTCTTATCCTCACCTCTTGCTTTCAATTTCTGTCTGGTTTCCTGGCTCCCCTTTGAAGCAAAACTTCCAGAAAGTTGCCTATACTTGCCTCTGCAACTCCCCTTCTCCTTTCTCACTTAACCGCACCCGAAACAGGTTCTTACGCCCCCCCCCCCCACCAAAAACTGTTCAAGGATACCAATGGCTGCTTCCTTGCTGAATCCAACTGTAAATTCTCAGCCCTTATCTTACTTGATTTACCGGATTTTCTTTCTTTTTTTATTTATTTATTTTGAGAGAAAGAACACAAGAGGAAGAGGAGCTGAGAGAGAGGGAGAGAGAGAACCCACAAATGCAAAGGCAGGGTTTAATCTCACGAACTGTGGTATCGTGACCTGAGCTGAAATCAAGAGTCAGACGCTTAACCAACTGAAGCACCCAGGCTCCCCTGATTTACCAGATTTTCATCTGATCACAAGTGACCACCTCCCCCCCACCCCGAGGCCTCTGCACTTGGTTCCCAGAACTCCCAACTCTTGATTTTCCTCCTGCCTCAATGGCTGTGCCTTCCAAATCTTTTTGCTTCTTCTTCTCTCCAACCTTTTAATTTGGAGTTCTCCGTCCTCTTGGTTTATATCAACTTCTTGGATGATCTCATCCAGTCTCATACCATTTAAATACCAGTGATTACCAAATTTACATTCCCATCCCATACATTGCTCCTAAAATCCTAACTCCCCTCTCTGACCCCCTGCTCAACATTTCAGCCCGGATATCCACAAAGCATTTCATATCCTATATGCCTCAAACTGATTTTCTTCCCCCAAATCTCCACCTATATCCCCTTTGCACCCAACTCAATTGATGGCATCTCTATCTTTCAATTTGCTCAGGCCAAAACCCTGAAGAGTCATTTGTGATTCTTCTCTTGTTTTCATATCCCATGTCTGGTATGTCAAGAAGCCCTTGACTAAACTTTCAAATTATATCCAGAATGTGACTATTTTCCACCACTTCTGCTATCACTCTGTTCTGAACACCATCATTCCCTGCTTGGATTATCACAAGAGCTTCTGAATGCTTTTTTTTTTTTTTTTTTTTTTTTTTCTGAATGCTTTTTTCTGCTCTGGTCTTGCCCCACAGCAACTACAATGAGCCTTTCAAAGGGTATGTCAAATCATTCCCCTCTTTTTCTCC